AAAAAAAAGCAGCCGCGACGCTTCGGACCGCAAGTCAGGAGGAACTGCAGACCTTTAAAGAACAGAAGCCGAAGAGAAGGGCAGAAAGCAAAAAAGCTGCCTGCGGCTGCATTTGAAATCGCAAAGCTGGATTCTTTATTCCAAGCAAAGATGGAACACGCTGGCCCCCAAGGACTGGGTTGTTTTGTCTTTCCGTCTTTCTCCCTGCATTTCACTGTACAGACGCCTTCAGCAACCAGCGGAGGCGCTTGGAAACTAAGGCTCCTTTCATCCTGATCTGTCCTAAACTAAAGCACTTACTCCGGGGCTGCCTGCCTGCCTGCCCTTCGCACAAATCCTTCCACCAAGTGGGAATAAAGACCTAGAAGCTGCCATTCGCCGGACCTGCACTTCATCCCTTTCAATTTCGGTTCGGGGGTTGCGTGGCACGTTGAGCAAACCCAACTCAACCAGCTCAGACCGCGAAGGGTTCAAGGACTTGTGCCACGGAGTGGCTCGCTCACCAGGTTAAGCGTGCTGGTGTGAACACAACCCTCGCGTGCCCTGCCTGCCTCTCCCTGAAAGAAAAGCCGCGTGCTTTTAGCCTGGGGTGCCTTTTCGGCTGAAGGCATCCAGCCACGCGTGCCTGGGAGAATCCGTCCGTCGCCGCCCTGCCTTAGCCGGAGCGAGAGTGGCCTCTAAGCTCTACCAAGGTCGAGCCGTCGATGAGCCTTCCTGCCCCCGAAGCGCCCACTCCCTTCGGCTCAAAGAGCTCTTCGCCCGGAGCGGCTGCTGCAGCCCTTTTCTGCGCCTACCTGAGGAACTGGTGTCATTTTTCTGCCTCTTGACGTTCGCCATGATTGGGCTTCGGCTCCAAAGCTGCCTTCAGAGAGAGCCTCCCCGGGGCTGTTGCTACCACAGTCCTCCCCGCCCCCGCACCTCCTCCTCCTCCTCCTCCAGTTTCCTAGAAGGAAGACAGCCACCCTCCGTCGCCCGCCCTCTTCTCCTCCCCCGCGAAAGGGGCGCCTCCTCTCCTCAACTCTCCCCGCTTGCTCTTAATCAAGATTGGGCGGGCCGAGCGCTTGTCTTAGTTCTCCGCGGACAGGCTCAGCCCTCGCCTTTGGCCTCGGAGGAGTGGGAGAAGCGCAGCGAGGCCGGAGGTTTTCGGAGAGGTGAAGTGTAATAGACACGCGTTGCCGTTTCCTATGATAAAGAAGCAAAGGAGGCTGGGATAGCCCTGAAGGGAGAAAGTCTCCGTCTGAGGACACACCAACTCAAGGTCCACAAAGAGCCAGCAGGCTTTCCATAATTACCCCCTTGTTGTTTTATAGCTGATAAAGTGAAGGATTTGTCCACAAATCCATTCAGGATTGGCGCCCCATTCTGTGACCTGGCTTCCAGCATTAGGCGTACTGCTGATTTAATACGGACTGTGAAACGACTTTTTATATTGTGGGAAGCCACCCACCTCCTAGAAGAATGAAATATTTTGAGAAATATTTTTAAAAAGACAGGATAAAATATTTCCCCTAAAAGAGAAATAAAAATCTTAAGGGAGACAGAAACACGGAGCCCCAGCTCCCTGCCATATATGTTGTGCCCATTAAGAAAGACTGGGCCATCCTATGTACAAAATAAAAGACCTTCAGCTCCAAGATGATGAGATTATTAAGGCATGACCCTTCAAGACACAATAGAATTAACCCACTATCATTTAGCAGCAGAACTCACTACATTGCACAATATCTTAAGGGCATTGCATCACCCTCCAAACTTAGCTCAGACAACCTATAGAGCCAGCTATGACCCCTACAACAGCCAATAGAATACATGCTTGATTTGTCAATCACTTACAAGATACAGGTATAAGAATAAACATAGTGAGATAGATACTTATAAGAAAAAATAAAAAGAAACAATAGGACAGGGACGGTAGGCACAATTGGTGCACTATGCACACCCCCTTTCTTGCACAGGAACAGGAAGCTCAAATACAGAGCCCAGAGGGAATAAAAGCCACCCACTCTCAACTCCCTGTGATCACTGCCTAGAACTATCCATGTGGTTCTGCTTCATCATTAAACCATCCTTCCAAACAGCCTCTGTGCTCCTGGCTACTTTCCTAGGCAAGCTTGCCTTACCAATAATGAACCAAGACACAGTGAAGGCCTTGTGCATTAAAATTAGGAGATAATTTATGCACAGTGTGTCAGTTAATATTAATCAGCTATTAGGCATACTTAGCTTTCAGTTCTGGGGATATTTTATGGCTCCTTAGAACAATAGGTTCTTTCCTGTTTTTCAGTTTAGTTGCCTTTCCTGTTATCCCATTCAGTTGTCTTTCCCTGGCTAGCCATTTCTCAGGAGCTGTTTTTACAGCTTGTATTCTTCCTTTTCCCACTCTAAAATCCCTGCTAAGTTTTGCCTACAAAGTTTCCACTACACAGCAGATTCAAGTTTAAAGTTTTCTTTCAATATTACATTTGAAGATCATTCCCTTAATCTTATCACATACAAAGAAAATACAGTATATAATAAAAAAATGGAAGGAAAAAGGGGGGAAGATAGAAAAGGCGTTGGCTTCTGACTCCTTTTGTGCAGTAAAATAAGACATTAACATCAAACCTCAACTTTTTACTTTTACATAGTAATTTGAATTAATCATTTCTATAGCAACAAATATATCTAATCAGTCAAACCAAAAATCAAAGTTACATTTTTTTCCCATCTCAAGCACAAAGTCTAGAAGCGGTTTCCAAGAAGAAATAAAAGTATTTGTATTTTTTTTCTTTGATCAAAGCAGTCCATGTAGCCATCTCTGCTAACTCCATTAATTTTTGCAGTCCACTGTAGGGATCGAGGTGACCTTCCATTTTTGTGCAAAGAGTAGTCTTGTTGCCGTTAACATGCATAACATCAAAGTTCCAATTTTTTCCCGAGAGGGAGGGAGGGAGGGAGGAAAGAAGGAAGAAGGCAATGAGAAGGAGGGAGGCAGGGAAGGAAGGAAGGGGGAAGGAAGTAGGAGGGAAGGTAGGAATGGGAGGAAGAAGGGAGGGAGATTGGAATGAGAGGGGGGGAGGGTCTGAGGGAAGTCCTGCCTTAGCAGTTGGCCACCAGAAACCCAGCTGCCCTCTCGCCATCCTCTTGCCCCCCTCCTGATCTCTCCTGGTGGTCTCCCATCTTATAGTTGAGGCTGCTTTGCTTAAATGCCGGATCTCTTTGCATGGAGAGGGAGTGGGCCTCCCTCTGACCCACACACTTCCATCCCACACCCACCATGAGTAACCTAGCCAAGGAAAGGGAGCACAACAGCAGTAGCCTCAAAGACATAAATGCAGCTGCCCCCCACCCACCCCCGAGAGAAGCGGGGCTGGGCTGGGCTGTGGGGTCTTGGTACTCCAGAAGCTTGAGGGCTCGAGGAGCCTGCGCTGGTACTCCACTGCCCAGGGCTCTTGGTACTCCACTGCCCAGGGCTCGAGGAGCCTGCATTGCTGTCCAAGTGGCCTGAGAGGGAAAGTAAGGCTCTTTTGGTGAATGAGGCTTTGGGACTTGCCCTGGTCTTACCTTCCTCCACTAGAGACCTCTGGATCCCCCCCTCCCCGCCCTGCCCCCCCCCCCCCCCCCCCCCCCGGGCCCCCCCCCCCCCCGCCCGCCCCCCCCCCCCCCCCCCCCAGGAAGTGGAGGACAATGCTGTTGCATGTGGAAGTGCAGAAGAGAAAGTTTGCAGGAAGTAGTTTCCTCCAAGTCCAACTTCTGCCTTGACAGATTTCTGGAGAGGAGGAGGGGTTGGAAGGGGGAGCTGCATGAGGGAAGGTATTTCCTTCCCAGCCTCCCTCATACAGGACTAGGGAATGCTGCTCTCCTGTCTCCTCTTGTTCTCCCATGCCATGGGATGCTTTCATATATAATTATATTAGCTATAGTGAAAAGGTCAACCTGTAGAGTACACAAGTTCCCCATAATTAGAATGGCTGCTTATAAATGAGATATTTATTGCATATTCACTTTGTCTCAAGTGCTGCATGGGTAGGGCCCATATGGAGTTAATTTTTACTTTATTACCTATTTTTGAAGCAAAACTAATAATACAAGAAATTAAGGATAGATAGTTGGAATATATGCACAATATCTTCTGACAGTGTCAAGAGTCAGTCATCCACTTGGAAATATCTGTTGTAATAAATAGCTAAGCTTTCTTTACTGTATTTTTAATTTTAGATTATATAATAGTGTTTATAATTATGTCCATAACATTTGTTAATTAGTTTAGTTTAGTTTACTTTATTGTCATTGCACCTCGTACAATGAAATCAAACACCATCTTCAGTGCACATCATGACCATGACCATGAAAATAAACACAAACACACATCCTTCACCCTTCACACATTGAACCGGAAAGCCCCGACACCACACCCTGCACTTCAAAAGAGCTACTGCCCTGGGATAGAAGCTGTTTTTCACCCTCTTTGTCCTTGTTTTTATTATTCTGTACCATCTGCCAGATGGTAATATCTGCATAGTATTTGTTTTATTTTATTTATTGGATTTATATCCCACCTTTACTATAGGTAACATATAAGTAACTTTATAAGTATTTTGGTGCCGTCAAGTCTGCGTTGAACCTGGGCAAGTCCCTGCAGTTTTCTTGGCAAGATTTCAGAAGTGATTTGCCATTGCCTCCTTGCTAGGTTTTATCAGTATAAAGTTTATAAGAAAGTGATTGGGTCAAGGTCACCCAGCTGGCTTTGTGCCAAAGGCAGGTCTTGCACTCATAGTCTCCCAGTTTCTAGCCTAGCCTAGTCTAAACTAGGTTTTAACACCAAACCCATTTGGCCCTGATCAATTTACAAATTTGCAATTAATTTTATATTGTACTCATCAGATAATAAACAGCATCTAAGAAGTGCAATTATGAAGCCGTTTGAAGCTGTTTGTGTAACATGAAGATCCATTTAATCAAATTAACTGAACTGCCTACAATTTGCACAATACACTAAATAATGCATTAATCTAACAGGCTTCATTAATCCAACATGCTGAACAATTAGTAAGAGAACCATACACTAATTCATCATGTTTCACATATCTAGCCTGAGTTTGACAAATCACAGTTTGCAAATTTAAATGACACCCATTTAAACTCTTTTGCAGTTCATGGAAATACTCCAGTTTCAGCCGCTTGCCTGTGACTTTTAGAGTATGCCTATTTCTATAATTTCACTTTGTTCTATGTCCTGTCCATGAAAGGTTTATACCTTCTAATCAGCTAATCAACCACACCAATCTTACATAATGCTTTAAGTTTTCCATATGTTTTGTAAGTTAAATTTAAGACTACTACCCATGTTGTAAATCTAAGACAGGAAGGGGTTACTTCCTTGGATTAAAGTTTAATCTGTCTGTAAAATCACAGAATTGGGCAATAAATGTTACTGCTTAGATAGCCATCCAGTAGACACTGATAAATATTTAAAAATTGTGACTGATGATTTTGTTGGATTCTCTGAGTGCTATGCTGAGAGTATCTGCCACAGTGGTTATTTTTCTGGACATAACAGATATAAGATTCATTGAAGAATATCATGTTGAGTAACTAGAAATATAATTTCATTACCTAAACTGTAACAGCTTGCATAAATATATATCTATGTTCTACTTATGGCCATTTTATATTGGTCTCATAGTCCATTCCTACCCTGTTTCTCCAACAATACGGCCTCTCCCAAGAGGAAGTCCCAGCATGTTTTATAGGCATGAAATTAAGCCCCTCCCCCCAAATTAAGGCCTATATTAAAACATGCGAAATGGGGGGAATGGTGGTGGGGGCTTGCCATTAGGAAGTACTTTTGTTGCGCACCCGGATATGGTGCTGCCTGCGTTGACCCCGATACGAAGTGCCCCACCAATGTCGAGGTCAACTTCCAAGCCGTCACCGCCCGCCCGAAGAT